CCAACACAACACACAACACCCACACACACCACACACAATACACACCACACACACACCACCCAAACACACCACCCACACACAGCACCCACACACCACCCACACACAACACACACCCCAACACAACACACAACACCCACACACACGACCCATACACAACACACACCACACACAACACACACCACCCACACACACCACCCACACACAACACACACCACACACAACACACACCACCCACACACACCACCCACACACAACACACACCACACACAACACACACCACCCACACACACCACCCACACACACCACCCATACACAACACACACCACCCATACACAACACACACCACCCATACACAACACACACAATGCAGAGACTACGTAACACGGTCCGCCGAACATAAATAAAGAAGCTGACTCGCTCACACACACAGCTCAAACACAACAAGGCACACACAATACACACACACCATACACATACACAATACACATAATACATACACAATATGCATACACAATGCACACACACACACAACACACACACACTATACACAATACACACACAACGCACATACACAATGCACACAATACACACAATGCACACACAATACACACACAATACACACACAACAACACACAATGCACACACACAATACACACACTACACACACAATACACACACAATACACACACAGACTACACACACACAATACACACACCGCACACAATACACATACAATATATACACATAATATTCACACAATGCACACACAACACACACAATACACACACAATATAGATACACAATACAGAAAACACACACAATACACAGACACACACAATACACACACAATATACATACACAACACACACAATTCACACACACACAATACACACACACTACACACACACAATACACACACAACACACACAATACACACACACAACACACACGCAATACACACACAATACACACACACTACACACACACAATACACACACAGAATGCGCGTGAACACGATACGGGCTCAGTATCGACTACAACACACAACGCGCGCGAGTGTGTCGCGTACATAGCACACACACACACGTGTACATGACCCGTGTATTCCACACACACACACACACGCGTGTACATGCCCCGTGTATTAATCACACACACACGTCTACATGACCCGTGTATTAATCACACACGCACACACGTGTACATGCCCCGTGTATTAATCACACACACGCACACACACGTGTACATGCGCCGTGCATTAATCACACACACGCACACACACATGTAGATGACCCGTGTATTCCACACACACACACACACGCGTGTACATGCCCCGTGTATTAATCACACACACACACACGTGTACATGCCCCGTGTATGTATTACACACACACACACGTGTACATGCCCCGTGTATGTATTACACACACACGTGTGCATGCCCCGTGTATTAATCACACACACACACACACGTGTACATGCCCCGTATATTAATCACACACACACACGTGTACCTGCCCCGTGTATTAATCACACACACACACACACACGTGTACATGCCCCGTGTATGTATTACACACACGTTGTACATGCCCCGTGTATGTATTACACACACACACACGTGTACATGCCCCGTGTATGTATTACACACACACGCGTGTACATGCCCCGTGTATTAATCACACACACACACGTGTACCTGCCCCGTGTATTAATCACACACACACACACACGTGTACATGCCCCGTGTATGTATTACACACACGTTGTACATGCCCCGTGTATGTATTACACACACACACACGTGTACATGCCCCGTGTATGTATTACACACACACACGTGTACATGCCCCGTGTATGTATTACACACACGTTGTACATGCCCCGTGTATGTATTACACACACACACACGTGTACATGCCCCGTGTATGTATTACACACACACGCGTGTACATGCCCCGTGTATTAATCACACACACACACGTGTACCTGCCCCGTGTATTAATCACACACACACACACACGTGTACATGCCCCGTGTATGTATTACACACACGTTGTACATGCCCCGTGTATGTATTACACACACACACACGTGTACATGCCCCGTGTATGTATTACACACACACACGCGTGTACATGCCCCGTGTATGTATTACACACACACACACGTGTACATGCCCCGTGTATTAATCACACACACACACGTGTACATGCCCCGTGTATGTATTACACACACACACACGTGTACATGCCCCGTGTATGTATTACACACACACGTGTGCATGCCCCGTGTATTAATCACACACACACACACACGTGTACATGCCCCGTATATTAATCACACACACACACGTGTACCTGCCCCGTGTATTAATCACACACACACACACGTGTACATGCCCCGTGTATGTATTACACACACGTTGTACATGCCCCGTGTATGTATTACACACACACACACGTGTACATGCCCCGTGTATGTATTACACACACGTTGTACATGCCCCGTGTATGTATTACACACACACACACGTGTACATGCCCCGTGTATTAATCACACACACACACGTGTACATGCCCCGTGTATGTATTACACACACACACACGTGTACATGCCCCGTGTATGTATTACACACACACGTGTGCATGCCCCGTGTATTAATCACACACACACACACACGTGTACATGCCCCGTATATTAATCACACACACACACGTGTACCTGCCCCGTGTATTAATCACACACACACACACACGTGTACATGCCCCGTGTATGTATTACACACACGTTGTACATGCCCCGTGTATGTATTACACACACACACACGTGTACATGCCCCGTGTATGTATTACACACACGTTGTACATGCCCCGTGTATGTATTACACACACACACACGTGTACATGCCCCGTGTATGTATTACACACACACGTGTGCATGCCCCGTGTATTAATCACACACACACACACACGTGTACATGCCCCGTATATTAATCACACACACACACGTGTACCTGCCCCGTGTATTAATCACACACACACACACACGTGTACATGCCCCGTGTATGTATTACACACACGTTGTACATGCCCCGTGTATGTATTACACACACACACACGTGTACATGCCCCGTGTATGTATTACACACACACACACGTGTACATGCCCCGTGTATGTATTACACACACACGCGTACATGCCCCGTGTATGTATTACACACACACACACACGTGTACATGCCCCGTGTATGTATTACACACACGTTGTACATGCCCCGTGTATGTATTACACACACACACACGTGTACATGCCCCGTGTATGTATTACACACACACACACGTGTACATGCCCCGTGTATGTATTACACACACACGCGTACATGCCCCGTGTATGTATTACACACACACACACACACGTGTACATGCCCCGTGTATGTATTACACACACGTTGTACATGCCCCGTGTATGTATCACACACACACACACGTGTACATGCCCCGTGTATGTATTACACACACGCACACACACGTGTACATGCCCCGTGTATGTATTACACACACACGTGTGCATGCCCCGTGTATTAATCACACACACACACACACGTGTACATGCCCCGTATATTAATCACACACACACACGTGTACCTGCCCCGTGTATTAATCACACACACACACACACACGTGTACATGCCCCGTGTATGTATTACACACACGTTGTACATGCCCCGTGTATGTATTACACACACACACACGTGTACATGCCCCGTGTATGTATTACACACACACACACGTGTACATGCCCCGTGTATGTATTACACACACACACACGTGTACATGCCCCGTGTATGTATTACACACACACACCGTGTACATGCCCCGTGTATGTATTACACACACACACACGTGTACATGCCCCGTGTATGTATTACACACACACACACGTGTACATGCCCCGTGTATGTATTACACACACACACACGTGTACATGCCCCGTGTATGTATCACACACACACACGTGTACATGCCCCGTGTATGTATTACACACACACACACACGTGTACCTGCCCCGTGTATTATCACACACACACACACGTGTACATGCCCCGTGTATGTATTACACACACACACACGTGTACATGCCCCGTGTATGTATCACACACACACACGTGTACATGCCCCGTGTATGTATTACACACACACACACGTGTACCTGCCCCGTGTATTAATCACACACACACACACACGTGTACCTGCCCCGTGTATTAATCACACACACACACACACACGTGTACATGCCCCGTGTATGTATCACACACACACGTGTACATGCCCCGTGTATGTATCACACACACGTGTGCATGCCCCGTGTATGTATCACACACACACGTGTACATGCCCCGTGTATGTATCACACACACGTGTACATGCCCCGTGTATGTATCACACACACACGTGTACATGCCCCGTGTATGTATCACACACACGTGTGCATGCCCCGTGTATGTATCACACACACACGCGCGTGTGTATCATCAGCCACGTGTAGATGGCCCCTGCATGTATCTCTCGCACGTGTACATCGCAGTTGGCTCGCCTATACATCACCTGCGCGCCCATAAATCACACACGAGCGTGGACATCGTGAGCGAGTACACGACACACACGCGTGAACATCACATAGACACGCGTGGACATTATGAGCGTGAACATCGTGAGCGACGTCTACGCGGCACACACGCGTGAACATCACATAGACACGCGTGAACATCACGAGCATGGACATCGTGAACGAGTACACGACACACACGCGTGGACATCACACAGACACGCGTGGACATCACACAGACACGCGTGGACATCACACAGACACGCGTGGACACCATGAACGCGTGCATCGTGAACGACGTCTACGCGACGGACACGCGTGAACATCACACACGCGTGAACATCACACACACACGCGTGAACATCACGCACACGCGCGCGCGTGTCCCTCACCGTCCTCCGTGGGCACGTAGATGTTGAGGTAGAGGCAGTCCTCGTTCATTTCGTGCATGTACGGCGCCACCACGTCCATGTTGGCCGTGAACCACACGGGCAGCATCACCTCGGGGAGCACCCCGCGGATCGTCTGCGGGCACACGGGCGCGAAGTGCGTCGCGTTGCGCACCCCCTGCCACGCCGCGGGGGGCTCGGGGGGCTGGAAGCGCCGCTCGGCGACGGGGGGCGCCGCGTAGGGCACCCCCAGGAACTGATCCACGGGGCCCAGGATCTCGTTGTTGAGCACGATGCGGACGCCGCGCAGCTTGCCGAAGTTGGTGGTGATGGTCGGGTACGTGGACTGCCCGGCGGCGGGGGCGGCCGCGAGCAGCCCCAACAGCAGCAGCAGCAGCTGCAGCAGCGGAGGCAGCAGCAGCAGCGGCGGCCGTGGTGGTGGCAGCCGAGGTGGAGGCAGCCGAGGAGGAGGAGACCCCGTGGGATCCCGAGACTCCCTGCGGCGCGGCGCCTCCCTCCGCGCCTCCGCGCCGCGCATCTTTGCTCGGTGAATGCTTCTCCCTTCCCTCCCTCTCTCCTTCTCCCTCACCCCGGCAGGAAGGCGACGGCGGTGGCGAGCTGAGCTACGGAGCAGCGGCGGCGGCTGCTGCTGCTGCTGCCGCTGCTGCTGCCCGCGGAGGCGCGCTGGGAGGGAGCAGGGAGGTCGCCGAGTGCGGGAGGCGCTCAGCGCTGGTCCCGGCTCCCCGCCCGCCGCGTCGCGTCAGATTGGAGCCTTCGGCGAACAGCGCCGCGCGTTACCGCGCCCGCGTGACGTCACGGGCCGCTCTCTCCGGCTCGCTCACTCGCGGCGCATGATCATCGCCCTGGAACGTCGTCGCCATCATCATCATCGCCGTCGTCGTCGTCATCTACATCATCACCATCAGCCGCAGCATCGCCGGCATCGCGCGCGAAGCCGCCTCCACTCGCCTCGCTCGGATCCCGGCAGCGATGCGCGAATCCGCACTGCCCGGGCTCCCTCCTCCTCTCTCCTCGTCGATCCCCCTTCTCCTCCTCCTCCTCCTCACGGTCTTATTCCTCTTCGCGGTCGTGATCTCCTCCTCGCGATCCTAGCCCTCGTCTCTTCGCGCAGCCGTCGCCAGTCCGGAGAGCCGCTCTCCCGATCCCTTCAAAGCGCGCTGCGCGCTCCTCTGCGCATTAGCATCTCAAAGGGAGCGAGAGCGGCGCTCCTCACGAGGGAGAACTGGTGAAGAGATGCCCCCTCCTCCTCCTCTCTCCCCTCCCCCTCTCCCTCGCCGTCTCTAGCTCTGACAAGGAGGCGCAGCGTCATTGGCTCAGAAGGGGAAGAGACGGTGGGCCGCCTTTCGGATCCCGGTCCCCGCATCTCGCGCGCGGTCTCGGCTGCATCTCGCGTGCGGGGGGCCCGTAGCGAGACCCGGTCCCCTGTGCTGGACCCAGGGCCAGGGAGGTCTCCACACGTGCGAGGCGTCTTGCGGATTTTCGGCTACGTGGATCAGCTGTCCCCGGGGTCACAGGTGTCGAGAAGGACAAACTCTCACGGGACGAGCCGGTTCCTTACGACAACGACGAGCAACACAAATATAATCTCATGTCGGGGTCAATTACCGATCGCTTCGCATGTGAAGAAGCAGCACCAGGGCCCAGGGTGGAGCATAGTGGCGGAGTGACGGCCGAGGAATGGAACGAGTCCGTCGGAGAGACGGAGCTCGCGTTGCGGATAGATGCTCGGTGGATTTGGGCATCGCCGGATTTTGAGAGATTTGCGACTGATTGTGGAGGCTTCCGTCGAGCAGCCGATTGATCATGGCCGGTGACGATGATGATGATGATGAAGCTCGGGATATATTTGTCCTCTGGGACAGGTGTCTCAAGTTCCAGTGGTCTCCAGGAGTAGGTGGCACCGTGGCTCAGGGGACAGCGAGACGCAGAGGATGACGAGGAGGAGTTTGCGGATTGTGAACCTCGCGGTTGTGAGTGCAGCCCCTGGGCACGGCCCCGCGGTGACACGCGCACAGAGACACAGATTCCCCTGTGCGGCCTCAACAGATCGTTGGGACAAGTAATTTTAGCGACCACCTTTGAGGGCCGACACGGCACACGAGGTTGTGGGTGGGTGGCCAACACCGCCACGCCTGGCCGCCTTTGTCTCCTTCGTGGTGATTTTTCCAAATCGAACCAGATATTCAATTGAGATTGAGTTCACCTCGGGGTGACCGGGCACTGGTCCAGATAATCGTCGCCGGTGTTGGCCGTGAGCGTGATTGACACACTGATCTCGTAGCGCGGCGCGCTACCCACTACGCCCCCGTTCCCCACGCGCTGTCACGCGCTCGCGCACACCGAGCTCAACGTCACAACGACGATCGCAGTGTCGAGCGGCGCTCATCTTCGCTGGTAGCCTCGAGCGAGTCAGCGATGCATTATTCCACATTCTCAGGGCGGGGAGCAAGTCCACCTCTGTGGCCATCACCGATGGCCTCCCACAAAGTGGTGCTGTATTCATGTTAACGGTGAAGATGATGGTGGTGGCGGTGGTCGATGAGCTGAGTCGACCCCCGATTGAAATGTGGGCTCGAGATGTGCGGACAGAGAACCACGAGGCGCGGGGGGGGGGGCCGCGCACCTCTGCAGACGCGGAGCTCGGGGTCGACTCGAGGGTGCGCGGTGTTTGTCTCGGCGCGTCCGTGTGGCTCCGTGTTGTTGCAGTGCGGTGTGGGGGTGGCGGTCGCGATGTTCGCCGCGGAGCGAGCGACACGAGGGCTCCGCGTGCTGTGGTGTCGCCCCCTGGAGTCGGGGCGGCTCCACGTGGCGCGCGGGTCGCCACCGCCGTCGCAAGGCCGCCGAGGCGACGCCCGCGGCGCGTGGAGTTGTCTCCGGGTCCTCCGGGTTTTCCATCCATCGAGGCCGTAGCCATGGAGTCAACATTGGGAGGTCTGGGGGTCCTCCAGAAGAAAAAAAATAATCTAAATTTGAAAACTAATTTCTTGCCATTTTCTGTCTAAAATATTTAAACATTTACTAACATATAGGATGGACTTTAAAAAAAAATTTTTTACAATAATGTCTAATAGTGTATTGTATTACATTGCTCTGCTTCATTGTATGTAATGGCAGAGATGAGGGATTAATAAAGTACAACCAGAACCACAATCATATAAGCAGAAATCGATTTTATAGCAATATATTGGGGGGGGGGGCATTTTGAGCATATTTTAATATTGGGGGGTGGGATGTGTACCTCCAAATATATGTATTATAATTACGGCCTTGCCGTCCCTATTTATAATTAACATCACGCGTTTAGAGTGTTTGGCTGCTGTACATGTCCACGTGTTAAGCCACTTCGTTGAGCTATCATCTGTGGCCACGTCGCTTCCGAAAAAGATCTGCAAAGCTCAGTGAGCCTGACCTGGTAAGATAAGAAGAAATAGTTTCATACTGCAGTTGAGTTTTTAGTTTACATTCGCTCGCATTTATTTTGATGGCGATCCAAGACAAGATGACCACAGCGCAGTTCTTCGGGATCTGCTGACGGTGTTTCCATAATGCACCGAGGGCCGAGTGGTGTTTGCACGAGTTTCTGTGTGCCTTGTTCGAACCTTGTGGTTGTCGGGCCTGCACTGTTGTTCCCGTTATTTGCAGATTCGATTGTAGTCTAGTAGTCAGCGATTGATCGCGTTGTTGGCCTCGCATTCATCGGCACGAAGCCGACTGACGCATCGTGAAACGTGGGTTCATGTTTGTGAAATATGGTCTATTGCTCACGCGACGCGGTTGTTATTTTTGTTTTTGCACCGACTTTACATTCGCTTCGTGGTCGCTGTACTTAACTGCATTTCTCTTCTTGGTTCTTTCGGTAAAGTAACGTAGAATGGAAATAATAAAATAATAAAAATAAAACATAATAAACGAATTCTCACGACGTTTCGGCCACAACGCAAGCAGCCGTCCTCAGGTGAAGACTCTGTCTTCTTGACAGACTTGTTCTTCACATGAAGACGGCTGCTTGCGTTTTGGCCGAAATGTCGTGAGAATTATTTTATTATGTTTTATTTTTATTATTTTATTATTTCCATTCTACGTGACTTTACCGAAAGAACCACGAAGATGAATCCCTGCAGTCCGAAAGCTTTGAATCGAAATTTAACTGCATTTGTTCATTTTGCTCTTTCACATGTTGGTGACGCAGGTGCTTCTTGCAAACAAGCCTCTGCTCTGGCCTCTCCCTCTCGAATTATCGCGCTGGTTACACAAAATAAACGCGAACCTTGGAAATCCGCAATTAGCAGCGTCGTCATTGCACGTGGCCGATACGTGGGGTGACATCGACGCGTCACACACACACATCTCGTGTCACTGTGTCATGCTGTGCGTGCCACGTGGGGCATCTCTGCTGGGCAGGCACCGCACTCAAAAGCTGGCCTCGTGAAATACCTTCCACGACTGTATCATCATCATCATCCCCAAACAACCAAACTGAATAATTAAAACAATAACCCCGATCGTTGAATTTGTTTTGTAGATGCCCAGTCTGATACTGCCAGAGCCATATGTTAATTATCACGCAAGGCAAAGCATGTGCTCTGCCTTCAGAGCGAAATGAATAATTGAGCAGCCGTCGGCGGCGTGAGACGAATGTGCGTGGCATATTTGGCAACGCGTGTCGATGCTGAGCCACGGAGCCGCAGCTCGTCCATGACACACACACACACGGGCCCAGCGAGATTCGTCGGACAATGGAGCGACGCGTAGCGAACTCTGCTTCCATCCGGATGGGCGGTCCCGCGGTGAATGTGACCGAACGTTTTTTTCCTTCGGGGCCGCGGGGAGCGCGATTCGAAGCGCGATTCCAGCGCCGCGTCACGAAGACGCAAGTGATGAATCTCCCAGCCGAGGACATCGCGATCGAGGCTCGTTAAGCGTTGGCACTTCCCCCGGACGCCAATTACATCCATTTTCAAGGTAACACACTGAATCGGGAACACGAGATCGCGTTTATTCCAACTCGACCCGTCGCACCCGGACGAATCAGAATGAGAAGGAACGTTGCACAATCTCACAGCATCACGACGGCACACCCCCTGGCATCACCTGCTACAACCACCTGCAGCCACAGTCACCACACGCACACTCACGCAGCCAGACAACAACCCGCAAACGCAGCAACGGCCGAAATTCACTGCTAAATGGTCGGTGACGTCACCGCAGCGATTGTGCCAGGCTAGGTGCACTTTGCCATTTCAATAACCGGTTTCGACAGCACAAGTCCCATCTACTGGCATCACGTGCTACGGTCACAACCACAACGCCCACAGCCACGTGCACAGCCTGTTTTGTCGATCATCTTATGGACGAGGGCCTCCCCGCGCTGTCGCGGGTCGTTGGGGGGGACTATTTGACCATACTTCACCACGCTGGTCACTGCGGCTTGGTGAATGCGGGCAGTGCAGATGCGGAGGCGTGCAAAATGGATTACACCGCCCTCTGCTGTCCGCCACGTGTCCCGGCAGCACTATGGCAACCTGTGTGTGTGTGTGCGTGGCGATCGGCCACGTGTGCACGCTGGACTTCTTTCGCACCGTACATAGCCCACCGTGCTCATACGAGATGCGCGTGAGATTTGTTTTCTTTAAAGCTACGGCAGAAAACCTGAGGAAGCCGGAGGGAACCACCCTCCTGCCCCCCCAGGGACCCCCCCCCATGCAGAAACGGGGGAAGATATGCAAGGTCCACACCGAGGAGGCGCGCGCGCGTGGCAACACCGCCCTGCCGCGCCGCACCACTCAACCCCCGACACATTCCGAAGATCGGGCGAGATTCGTTCACAGCTCCCACACCTCGACAACGAATTCGAAAAAGGAAATGTAATTGATTTAGAAATGTCACCTACTCACCCCCCGCCCCCCTCCCCCCAACGTGTGCACGGGCATTGCTTAAACAATTAAATGCAAAGCGTTCATCACAAGTGAGTAAGAATGACGGTGCAGTCACACGGACACGTCGCTGCTGCTGCTGCTACTGCTGCTACTGCTGCTGCTGCTGTTGCTACTGCTGCTGCTGTTGCTGCTGCTGCTACTGCTGCTGTTGCTACTGCTGCTGCTGTTGCTGCTGCTGCTACTGCTGCTGTTGCTACTGCTGTTGCTGCTACTGTTGTTGCTACTGCTGTTGCTACTGCTGCTGTTGCTGCTGCTACTGCTGCTGTTGCTACTGCTGCTGCTGTTGCTGCTGCTGTTGCTACTGCTGTT